AATTACTATATGCCGCCATACAGTGAAAATGGTAGTACTGAACGCATCAAGTGCTCAAATCTGTCTCTATAGATTGTATATAAAAGGCAAATTGACACTGTCCCTAAACCCTCATTTCTGAAATACATCTTGAACCGGTGTCAATATACTTTATAGATGAACTACTAGTCAGATAGTAACTCGCTTATTTGAGCCTAATTCATTCATCCGTTTAATGGCAGAACATTGTTGCACTGGAGCTGATATCAGTTTGTGATGAAAATCCTATCTCTCAACCTCGGATCCTTACTCTTAGCACTTAAACCTAACCAAAAAACAATGTGGGAACCCTGAAAAGTTTGTTTGGATCCCTTTAAAAGTTGGAGAAAGAGGATAATTTATATCTCTAAGAACGAGATTTTAATCGTTTTCCCCAACTTTCTATCACACTGACCAGTAGATAACTTAAATAGATTCACCAAACATGTAGAGTCTGTTCACAGTTCATAATATTAATGTTTTCCATAAATAAACGATTTATAATAGAACATAGCTTATTACATATATGACATATGAGAGTGTCTGTTTAAACCTACTATCCATTAACATATTAATTCGACGGAACTACTCAAGAAGTAGCTACGACTAAATTACGGATGCAAACATATACTGATCTTCTCTTGAATGTGAGTGGGTTTTCATAGTAAAAATAGTCAGTGACTAACAAAATAAATCCGACTATAAAACTTGAAAAACTCATAATCGCCGTAAAACTACTATATACACTTACTTTTCATCACTATAGTAGAGATGGATTATTTTTAACTTTGACAGTGTGTCCTTAGTAGCAATCACTGAAGAAATAAACAAATTAATTCTATCTCATCGTGGTTTTATTTACAAAGTCTCACTAAACATTTGAATAATTTAATTTACATTCAAATGAAAATACCTCGATTAATTTCGAGGTTACTGCTGAGATTTTTTTGTTTTTTGAATAAATACACATAAATATTTAATAAAACTAATCATTTCTACTAAATATGAGATAGAAATGTATTCTGAACTCAGACTTTTTACAAACTGATGTTTAGATGATATATTAGTCATTTTCGTCAAGAGTAAAGCAAAAGTTTTATTGAATATATTATGGAAGGAAATTAGGGCCAAGGAAGGATGAAAGGTTGAATGCATGGTTTTTGCATACAAAGTTAGGGCTTGAATTAGTGGATCGCCGACGCCTTAATAATGCATAAATCGAATCAAAAACTTCTACACCGCTGAGGCGTTGGTGATCCACCACTTAAAGACCAAAATTTGCGAAAAAATTTATTATTGAATTAAAAATATCATTATTTATGAACTATTATTACATATATTCCTACTGAATAACTACTAACTATATTGCATGTATATTTATATTATCTTATTATAAGCTTCCATTTAACCTATTGAGTACAATTATACGATTTACTATTATTAGGTTTTTCCTCAATGTATAAGTTACAGCCTCTCGGATTCACAGTCACATTTTGCCTGATCTTGAATAATTGTTATTTTCTATTCCATGGGACGATGCAGTCTGGTTTGATTGTATAATAACTACGTATGCCTGAAATATATGATTCATATGACGGAGACTGATATTGGTGTTCTGGACTGAGCTGGCTAAGTTAGGAGAGAAGCTACTGTCTCAGAGGACCAATATGGGCTCAAAGTTGACTCTAGGCTGCTCGTACTGGTATGTGTCATTGGTTTGGCAGTGCCAAGGTCATATAAGTCGGCGTTTGTAATTGGCGGTTTATTCACGTGATATATTAGCCGGGAATATGAGCACAATAAATCCCAACAAACCATAAGGCCTAAAATCAAAGCATTGTGAAGTACGTAGTCAGACAAAGAACAAATGATTCACATATAAATTGGTTGAATACAAAAAGAGAATTTCTCGATCGATCAATAATAATCAATGAAATATCACCTTTGGAGTATACACTAATGAGTTTGTATTTTCTCGCGTTTTTCTACACTTTTCAGTTATGCAGAGAACACACAAATATTCAGTCAAAATAATCATTATTGAAGTACAATTAAAGATTAAAGAAAGAAATAATTAATTCCATTAGTTTCGTGAAAATGTAAAATTTGAGAATAATTTTCATCTTATACCAGGTGAACCATTGAATAGCTATTTTTGGCTATTTTAAGATTCATCAGTGGTACACAATTATATGATAGAACCCGAGACTTGAAGGTTTCATCGAGAGCATGATCTTATCAATTCAATAATTTGAAATCCAATAGTACGAATTTTCGTCAACATCAGTTAGCATTTAAAATAACAATGACCACCCACATGTTCGCGCTATCGTGCGGTTTGATTGAAGTTAGAAATGCCAACCATTGTGGCTACCTTGATGTGGTGGTAGGGTTTGCCTATCGTGATGAACCAATCGAGCTATACTGGTTGGAACGATCGTTCCCAAAGGTCCTACAGTCCCAGATATGTTGGTTGAAGAACGGTAAAACTAAAAGTAACGAATCCAAGGTCCGAAGACGAAGTCGTACTGCTGAGTGTACAGAGGTGTGAAGGCAGTAAGGTGTTTCCTTCATACAACCAGCATGACAGCGATGCTGCCTTCCCACAAGGAGGGGTGTGGCCAGAAAAGGTCGACCCCAAAAATGCACAAATCGCCTTATCCCACGGATATCCGTTTCAGTCGGTAAGGTCCCAACAAGTACTGAGCTAACACGAAAATCACTCACAAAAAGTTTGTGTGTAACCGGCCTCAAGTAGTTGTTCCTTGAGCATTGCGTTCACGCTCTCAGGTCAATAAGGCCACCTCTGACCCAATTTCCTTTTCAGGTACCTCCACAAGAATTCTTTTCACAGTGTGGGCAACCGGGAAGTAAAAACTTCACTCATACCTCTAACAGCACTCAAGATCACTGTATTCATAATCAATCTTTTTCTTCAATTCCTATAATTTTCCCTCAATCGACTTTCAACACTAAACTTCCTCTTTTGGCTTCCTCCTCAAGTGTCACCATAGCTAACGATTCTAGGGCGCAAAACACTATCCCAGGTCTACTGAAACCTCGTTTCAAACTACACACTGTAGTTTTCAACGTGCGCACCCTACGTCGAATCGGCCAACAGGCCTGGGAGTTGGACATAATCCCATCTGACTGGTCACAAACACTGATTGTCCCAATATATAAGAGAGGGTCAAAATCATCCTGTGACAACCATAGAGGGATTAGTTTAGCTAACATAGCATCTTAAATACTAACTTCAATAATTATCGGCCACCTAACGAAGACTCGTGAACTGCAAACACGTGGAAATCAGGATGGCTTCAGACCTGGTCGTGGCTGCATCGACCACATATTCACCATTCGTCAGGTTTTAGAACGCAGGTATACTTACCGGCCTCCGACAATGATAGTTGTTCTTGACTTAACACAGCATTTGACTCTTTGAACCGATAGGTTCTTTGGCAGTGTCTGTCATTGAAAGGTGTACCTCAGAAGTATATAAACCTTGTGAAGACGCTTTACTTGAACACTACTAGTCGAGTCAGAGCTTATGGCGAACTGTCATCTGCTTTTGCAACCTCAAGTGTTGTCCGTCAAGGCTGTCCACTTTCTGCATTTTTGTTCAACTTCATCATAGACCTATTGATGGAAATAACACTCTCGTCGACTGAATTCTCGGGTATTGATCTCCTACCAGGAGGTCCACTTATCGACTTAGAATACGCAGATGACATAGTCCTGTTTGGTGAAGACGCTGACAAAATGCAGAGTCTTTTGGTAGCACTAAGCAACAATGCCAGAATGTTTGGAATGCGCTTCTCTCCCTCGAAATGCAAGTTGTTGCTTCAGGACTGGTCTGCGTCAACACCTGAACTAAGGATAGGGAGTGAAGTAGTCGAACGCGTCGATAATTTCACTTATCTTACAAGTCTGATCAGCCCTAATGGGTTGGGGTCTGGCGAAATCTCAGCACGGATTCGAAAAGCTCGTTTGGCTTTTGCCAACTTACGTCACCTTTGGCGAAGGCGAGATATCCGTCTATCAATAAAAGGACGAGTATACTGAGTGGCAGTTCGTTCTGTTTTAATTCACGGCTGCGGAACGTGGTCATTAAGAGTAGAAGATACTCGTAAGCTACTAGTATTTGGCCACAGATGCCTTAGAAATATTGCTCGCATCTTCTGGGATCACCGCGTAAGTAATAGTGATGGTCGACTCAGTGTATTAGTTATGATAGTAAATCAGTCGATGAGGTTGTGAATCTTCATCGACTGAGATGGTTGGGCCACGTGTTACGTATGCCTGAACACCGATTACCACGACGTGCAATGCTATCCGGTGTTGGAGATGGTTAGAAGAAAGTTAGGGGCGGCCAAACCAAAACTTGGCATCAGTGTTTGAAGTCACTAACTTCTAGTCTGAGCCATATTGGTAGATGCAGACTACTTGGTTGGAGTCCGTGTGACTATCGTAACTAATGGTCAGAGACTCTTGGTGACATGGCTAAGAATCGATCACATTGGCGTCGGCGTATACACTCTCTGTCTTCCCTTAAACTATGAGATTGAAATCACTTCATATCTTTCTTTCTACGAACTAATTCTGTCTTCCTGTACTATATCCTCATATGCAATCTTTCTTTCATATACTACCACCATTGAATTAGCTACTTCTATGAAGCCGGTGTTTGTCATTCTGTGCTAATGAGGTAACTTGGACCGATGCAAATATGTGCGTGGTCCTACGTTGTAGCTGACTGACTGGTTGGCAACAGTTAGATTTTCATGGTTTATCATATCTTTAATACGATTTGAAAGCCCTGTGCTCATGATCCTGTATGGAATTATGATTGCAAACTGTCGGGCAGTTCAAAATTAATAAATGAGAGAGTTATCCAGTGTACTTAGTTAGTTCGTCAACTGAAAACAAAACTATATTTAGAAAGCAAAGGAAAAAAAGAGAAAAAATACATGCTAACTTACATATGGTAGAAAATGCAGAGCATATAGCAAATAGTAATGTAAGACCTGCGTTAATACCAGTGACAGTTAGATTTAATGTACATTGACGAGGTAAACCGTAGAAAAGTACAAAGGCAGTATAAGCACAAATAGCTACAGCATACAGTGACAAGGTAGCAATATATATAGCTGAAAATTATGGAAGAAAAATTACATACATATATAGATCAAATGCCAATTATCAGGTCGAGACAAATCATTATTGTCAATTATTATTACTTCATTGAAACTTTGTTTGAAAAAATTTTTAATTGGATAAAAATCAACATTAGTTAATTTGTGGAGAAGTTTCCTACTGCAGTTATGCGACTATACATAACTTATAAATGTGCCTGGTCATACGTTGTAGCTGACTGACTATAAATTGACATATATGTTGAAATATTGCATTAACCAAGATTTTCTTCAGAATCGGAAAAGGAATTATTCTAACTGTTAATTGACGTTATTTAAATCAAGCGAGACGTGAATTCTGGTTAACCAGAAATCACAATTTAACTGTCACGAAAATCAACTTTATATATAAACACGAGTTTTCTGTTGTAGTATGATCGGTGCCAACAGCATTTATACATTTTATTAACTGTAGGTGCCTAAATTAAATAGTAATTTGAGATAATAGGGATTCGTGTTGTTGGTCAGTATGGTCTTTTAGTCTAAAAGAGTTATGGTGATACACTTGTTTAAGAAGCTTGACTGTTAATGGTTAAACTAAATTAATGCTCTTTTATTGACCTTTTTATCAACAAGAGTGATATACAACATGGCAGGATATCGAAAAATCCTCTTCATGATTTCCGTCCTACCTAAACACAAGACAAGGTTGGCCAGAATGTCAATTCAGTCAGGATAATGTTTACGTTACAAAACGCAGGCGATCAGAGCTAACTAGTACGTAACATGACGAACTGATCAACTAACATTTCCGATCGAAATATGTGGCGATACGGTTTCGAGTCCTCTTGCGAAGATCAGTTCCCTTGGAATCGCAGATACTTCTTGCTGATGGGTGTCATACCAGAACTATCTCCCACTGAATCTTGAGCTAAATGGATCTAGTCATTATTTATTTATTTATTTTAACACATAGATATTGGTACAAGAAAGCACCAAATACATATGCGCCACACAAATCTTATTCGATATGTGCGAGGGCTGTGATACTGCCCGGGTGCCCAAACCGAAGCAGGTGGTTTTCTTAGGGGGCCACTCCCCGAGCCTTTGACTTAGAGGTCTTACCCACAAGGCAGTGGAGCATCGTAAGGAGATGCAGTCCCATGGTAGCCGGTGACCAACGATTGGTTCATACGCCATTTGTTCCCGCAGGATACTGGAGCCCATGTGCACCATCAGTTTGGGATCCGGTTAAAGCGCCGGACATTCGCTTTTCGTCCTCTCATTTTTGTAAATAACACCCCCGCCACGAGAAGGCAGTGAGTAGGACTTCCCTGGCAGAGGCTATATACGCGTGGCCATGTGAGAGCATTTCGAGAGGGAGAGCGGACTTTCCCCACTCTCGGCCGTACCAGGGCATTTGGGGGCAAACCTGGAAGCACTGGACGGCCGTTTCGTTCTGGTATGGGACTCCTCAGCAGTGCGCATTCACGAACCCGCACCACCCGGGGCTCGAACCCAGGACCTACTGGCTTCGCGCGCGAGCACTTAACCATTAGACCACTGAGCTGATCTAGTCATTCTTCCAGCACATTCACTTCCTTGGGTCCATATCTCTTGTGTTTATATTCCAACTGATTCCCATGAGATTTAATACTATATGCATGCAATCTTTCCGATTTTCGCTCTTTGTGTTAAAGTAAAATGTGACAATTTGAACCGATACACATTCGTGCTCGGCTCAAATGACTGTGACACTGACCGGCTGAAAAGTTTCATCTGCATAAACGATGAATAACTTGGATAAAAAGCTTACTATAAATAAATAATTTTTCGCACTTCACAATTAACAAACAAGTAATCGAAACAAAAGTCTTGTAAATTCATACAGAGGAATTAACTATACATATTTTATTTTTGTGAAAAACTTAGCATGACAAAAAGGTACTTCGTATGAAAGCTTTCAATCGAATTTATATGACAGTCAAAAATCGAAACTGAAGCACACTACAAAACAGAGACGTAATTTTTGGAATCCAAACGCTGATAGCTCTGATACCCAACCTTGCTGAACTTTTATAAACCGAAATTTTAAAACATTTTCATGGTAACCAAATTATTTTGGCTTTCTTATTCATACATTAAATGTAGGAAATGCATACATAACAGATGACGAATCTAACTCACCCAATGTATAAAAAATTGAAGTTTTCGATTTATTATGCCTAGACGAAATCAAAACAAAACATTATTAAAATACGTTCAGTAAAAATAAATGCTTGAATTAACTAAGTGACAGAATGAAATGATTATTTATTTCGACAGTTGTTACGTACAAATTTTGCTGAATAATCCATAGAAAACGTCAGACGAACGTCTCAAAACTTTACGTTTTAGGTTATATATTTTTGTGAGTAGCATTAAGTATCATGGCTTATTTTGAAATTGGAAAAGTCTCTCGAAGATAGAAAAGTGCCCATTGGGTACACGTAGTCTTAAACAGAAAGCAGATTGAAGACAATATGTACTTACAAAAAAATAAGTCCTAACAAACAATATATATCAGATACGAATGATTTTACTGAATCAATAACACCGACAAATTCACTTGGTCCTGACACAACAAAGTGCAAGTCCTTTTACCTATCGATTTCTTACTTTGTAGTAATCATTGTTATGTTCGATTCAGTGTTGATTAACCTTTATCTAACAAGTTATAATATGACTGCTAAGCTAAGCGATTTTACATTGCAGTGTATTTTATTTAGTCTCAGGCAAGCAGAATAAATCGGAGGCCGTTTGAATCTCACGGGGAGTATGTAGATTCGAAACACAAATTATAAGTCAAAATAAAATCTACAGAGTATCGACTGTGATTATACAAAACACTAAAATGTCTCTACTTTATCAAATCAAGCTTGATGAAGTAGAATCAGGATGAAACGAAACTCAAAATGGTCGGGCAAGCATTCAACACTGACCGATGTAGTTACATTTTTCAACTTTCCAAGAAACCATATTTTCTGGATATGGACCCTCTAACAACAGTATGGAAACGACCCTGAAATGTTAGATTGTACAACTTCAACCCATTCATCGATTGTGCTGTTGGATGTGTGTTTCGCTATTCTATACACATCTACAGTTAGCATTGTTCGTTTCATTGTTTTTGTTCTAGGTACAGTTTTTTTTAAACAAATGATCTTGAAGTGATCCATTAATACAACCCAATTTGTCTGGTCACGTGTTGCTTAAGGTTACTAAAATATTTGGCTCAGTAAATGATTGTATTCAGTTCCCTCAAAAAGATATCTAGTTCTTCACTAAGGTGGCCTGTAAACTGGTCAACACAAGTTATACTAATTGTTTTCCACAAAAAGTTAATTTATAAAACAAAACGCCAAAATCCATTCATTTAGGCGTTCAACAGCTCTTCTTCCATTAAATAATATCACTTAAATAATTTGTAAGTGTAAACAATAATGATCACAACACCCCAGCTCGATAATGATTTTGAGGCTTATGTGTTAGACTTTTGGCCACGTCATTTAAGTGAGAACCAGTAACAAACTACTTAAACATTAGTAAGTAGGTGTCGTTTTAAACTTAACACTCAGAAATTGAGATCCAACCGCCTAAACTAATGAAGTACTGGTCTACGCAAGCCTGAAATAATTAATAAGCAATATACTCACTATATGGATGTAACAATCTAGACTTTTTAGCAATAAGGTGTGAGGGTTAGGCTGTAAAGGTCGTCAACAAACTCCAGTTTGGTCCATGATTAAGAAAGTATTGCTTGCGGTATTATTTTAATTTAATTTACCTGCAAATATTGGGTAGTGACAGACAAATACAGTGACCGGTTGATTTTACCAGTAGAATCTAAGTGTGCGAGAATATATAACCCAAGTAAACTTAAATTTCCCAACTGCTTCAACTTTAATGAGTGATTCTATGTTATTATTGACAAGAAACATTCTTGCTCTTATAGTGGCAAGATATGAACATAACTAACTACACCAATAATAAGTAATCGAAACAAAAGTCTTGCAAATTTATACGGAGGATTTAACTATATATATATATATATATAAACGAAATTAGGCAATATACAATAACTCGTCTGAACAGTATCGCCATTAAAACTTCGATGTTTTATTTGGTTTATGATGTTGCTTTGACTCATTAAGGACTATCTTCATGGTGAAACTACCAACAAAATATTTCAAATGTTCAACAAATTATGTTCTTTAAGCACTCAATCGACAGCACCAAGCATGTATGCAGGAAAGTCAAGTAGTGACCACAGTAAAAGTGAGTATTTAGGAGGACAAAAGATCGCAAAAATTGTTATTGTCTTACCAATTCCCATTTATTTCATAAGCAAAGTCGATAAGCGTTATGTGTTGTACATAGACAAATAAAATCCCACCAACGATTCCCATAATCATCCACACTGTAGATCAAAGTGAGTAAAAAACAAACAAACCTCTGATGAGAGTTTCCAAGTATGGGAAAAAGTAAGCAGTTATCCACACACTGACAATAAAGAACACTTTCCACAACCAGTACCTACATGTATAAGTTACTACATATACAAACTACCCATTATGAATTTTTCCCCGGAACGTCTGACTGGAAGAAACTGCGATGGTAAAAAATGTCATCAAGATATGAAAAGTGAAGAGAGAAAGACATATACGATAAACCCCAATATATCCTATAATTCTGTAACATCCTTCACCAGCTCCAATCTGAGAGCAAAATCGCTCAAAATTGTCTTTATGCTGTGGAATCGTTAGCAATATTAGATAAGACATACTCTGAGATACAGCGAACTTAAAACTCCACCCTCATGAGATGCAATTGATATAAATGTAATAAACACAAGAATAAGTGTGTAAGTAAGTCGTGTTGTGGTCGATTCTCTAGAATTTTTTACACAACACAAAAAGCACGGATACGCTCCAAAACCACATTCTAATGTTCGCCCAAGACAACCCATAGAAATCTACTAAACATATGGTGGTGACAAAAGTACATGCTCAACGTTTGACTAGTTCATCGTTATTGACCTTAAAACAGTACCTTTGATGTTGGTTCATTAAAAGTAATAAGAAATAAAACTGGAATCTACACTACAGAAAACGTTCTGTCACTTGCTTTATGTTCAAAAGTTATTTTTAGGTCCCTTTTGCTTCATTTTTTATGTAATTTTGTGTTATTACTCAAATTGGTTAGCTATTATATCGGAATGTAGAACAAACATAATTCAGTCAATGAACAACACAACAACTTGTGGTCTAATGATCCAGCTTTGTAATGGTCTACCCACCACTAAGAGACAACCATATGCACTAGAGCGAATTCTGACGAACTGCGACCTCCCCATTAAGTAGTACAAAGTCCATTTCATCAGATGCCCACCAATAGTGTGCACTTCAGTTACCGGAAAAGAAATAGACAGTCGACTCTGAATGTTTTGTGAGAATCTAGAAGGCCTACGTGTAAAAAATGATTACTTTCAAATAACCGTTTAGCATTGTGGCTATTTAACAGATTTGCATTACAAGATCTATCTAAGAAAACGAACCAGTTTATTTTCGGATGTAGATATGTAGATTTATGGCCTAGTTCGGTATCAGTACATTTATCTTTGTTGTTGTATTAAAAGGCCTAATTCCAAAATTGTAGATCTGTCATGATGTGATCAACTAATCTATAAAATCTTACTCAGATGTTACGTCATAGTCCACACTAATCCATCCTATCGTGACAATCAGCATCTCGATGTTTAGTACTTCTGCAGTCACATTTTGTCTGGACGATAGAATTTTGTAGTTATTATTGAAAGGTATGGGTCACACAGACTGACTGAGCCTGTAAGGCTGAGCCATGCCATACCAACCAACTGTCCTCGCGTTCACCAATCTCAACCTTCACTAAGTGTTATATTTCGGATGTTAATCGTATTACTGTTTAAATGCTCGGCTCCGAAGATCGTGTGGTTGGTAATCAATACCACTACAGATATCTATTAGCTAAATAATGCACTATAATAACTTTCTCCTTAATTAAAATTTTCAGGTATCCTTACTCCCGGGTTTCCCTTTACTTAGTTGTGCGAGAAGCTCGAATCATCTCATTTATTTTGAGATATTCTGTTCAATATCTTTGTAATACTGAACGTTCAGCCTAAATATTGACTTTGACTATGAATCTGCTATCCTAGACTTAAGGAGACCTAAAGATTGGCTGTTTAGAATAGTTTTTCCACACCTGTCATAACGAGAAATATTCTCGTAGATTTGCGATTAGATACATGACGTTTTTATTTATTTACTCGATTCATTTTGTTCGGGATCGTAAATCTAATGAACATTTGTCTATCAACTTTGCAGCAATAAAAACCTATTTTTGTAACACGTGCTTCACTAACCGTCCAGTGATCGTTTTTATTCAAATTGCCTTACAGTTAAGCCACACTCCAAGTACCTGAAACTTCCTCCGAATCTCATAGTCGTCTGTAGGGAAATTGAATACTGAGGAAAGTGTTTGAAGACTTCTTCTACAAAATTAGATAACATAACTAAATCACTCATCTGACTTCGCGAAGTTACGTTCATTTGAAGGACTAAACAAGTAATGAACACTTTATTATAGCCTCCACTAAGCTGATAAGATATCACAGAAGAAAATCCTGTAGTGGTAAATAAATCTCCAAAACAAATAGTCGTGTGTCCTCAACATTGATGCTGATTCAATTAGTTTTACTTGACACACCACCACTGAATGCCTCCTGTCACCCCCCAACACGAGGTCACGAGTAATTTAGCCATCCTTCACCTTCCTTGCAGCTACTAGCCAGCTTAGATCAAATGCTTCTCAATATATCGGCAATTGTGTCTAATATAACTTCGAGTGCATTTTTTACTGACTTCTGGTTTGGCTTGGTAGGTATCATTCGATTATAAAGATGTTGCGTACAAATGTGTCGTCAGATTTTAAATAACCGTGGCATCTTCAACTTCTAATAAAAGCAGGATGAAACTGTGCTTGTAATATTCTGAGGTTCTCTTATTAAAATTTGTTAGATACACTACATAGACACTTGTCGATAAACCAGCAGAAAGCTGTTGATGACAACCTGTTAGTGATAGAACACAAACGTACTAAGATTCTAATTGAGTGGGTCGTAAATTCAGTGTCTGGTAGAACTTAAATCTGCAGGACTTGAAATAAATTTTACAAAGTGAGCTTATCTATTTTCCCACCTAATTTTGGCTTGGTGTTTTTACTGAGGCACGGACAGTTGATACACTTGTAGCGTGGCGTCGAGTCGCGGTTGACTATGAACACCGCTACCAAGAAATACGTGCCAAGTTAATCAGAAGGCGAAGGTAGAACGTAACCAAATAAATCCATAAAATCCCCGAGAAGCCAAATATCAGCAGGCAATTAATAGACCAAATCGAGATATATTCGCTGGCGATCTCGTGGCATCGAAAGGTTACCGAGATTGTGCCAGGATAGAAGCTTGGTTACAGAACGTAACCGAATTCGCGTGAAGTTACAGTCAAAGTGTGTGTATAAGAATGGAAGCAAAATATAGCTGTCATTAGCAAAGTCAAACAAGCACTGGTACAGTTGGTTATAATAATAATTGTTTTTATTAAACCAGTCGTGTTCTCGTGATAAATGTGAGTCACTGCACACTCGTAACTTACAACCCTAAAATCAAGAAAAGCATATTTAAATTCAGGTACCCAAAGTTTATACTCAAAATGAGAGTTATCAACCCAAATATAGTTTTAATGAAAATTTAGGTTTTCAGAGCAAAATTTGCAAAATACTAAACCAAACATTGTGAAGCTGAAGGTGTTTAGTGCCAAAATTATAAACAAACGCCTTCAAAGCTTGAGTAAGACAAATATATCTAAAACACAATGAAAATTATGATGTTCATGACAACAGTTAACAGTTCAGTAAATGTTCTGAATTTCTCATGTGGCCTTTCTATTTTTCAAATGATAATCACAGTCCATCAGAGTTACCTGGAATAATTTGATCAAACAACGCACATAGTCGTAGGCTGTAGCTACATTGAAGCAACCTAATCAGGTAGTTAGTGGCAAGTTGATAACCCATTATTCGTATAAAAATATGATAGATATTTATTTACATGTCATATGTAGGTATCGTATTTCCGAATTGCATTCAATTCCTCCTTTTGAATGGTGAACATCTGGTACTTCTCGAAGGTCATTTCAAAGCTCTCCAATTGCTCCTCAAATTAAGTAATAACCGGTAAAACTGTGATGGTATGGGTTGTCAACGACACGATTTTTAAAGCTGAATAGTTAATAACTGAGATTGTTTACGTTCAACATTTTACGCTTGTAGAAGGTCAGAAATGATGGACCCACGAACACTTAAACGGTATGGCATGGCCAAATCATTCAGGCGTTATCACTAAGTAAATTCTTATTTTAAATAATAAAGGAGTAATTCCAGTCCCAGACCAAATGTATTTTTCTGAAGTACTTAAAAGTATTTCTCTGGCCTGCACGATAAGACAAATCACTATAGACAATGACATGATGTTGTAGAATTATGGTCTACTTCGTTATTAGTACTATTATAATAATAGAATTAATCCTAAAATTGTAGACAAACAGTACAAATCCGAGAGTTCAGACAACTATGTAGCTGTCACAGTATGAACCATCTAAAATAACTTTATGATTGCAGAGACTTTATAGCTTAAACTCACCTTAATTTCTGGAGTATTGTCTTCGTCGTTTGGCAATAGAACTCGAAAATTGAAAATTAGGCAGTCGGTGGTCGGACAAAAAGATATTACTGGATAGTCCAAAGTTTAAAACAGAGTGAAATGTTAAGTAAAGAAACAATATGAAGAATTAGGTCCAGATAACCATTCAGTCCGTGTTCACGTTGCCAGTCAACGTACATTTCCGTTATTTACAGGTCACATTTGCCAGAACTTGATGTTTTCACAAGTTTATTTCGCTGAAGCATGTAACTACTATTACAGCTTGTCAACAAACCATCTTGGCTAGCAATTGATATAGATGACCTGTTATTATGATCGATTAAGCTACTACGTTATGAGTACTAATCAACACCACAACACGATAGAAAACGTGAGCGTTAGTCAGGGGACTATAGAATACTGGGTTAACATAAGTAAGAAAGTTAAAGTGGAAATAAGGATTGGTAGTAATAGGCTGTGTTTCTTTAGTCATGTATATCAATGTGGATTTATGGTCCCTTTCGTTATTAGTACTATTATAATAATAGATCTTATGCTAAAATTGTAGATTTGTTATGATGTAACTGCCTAATCTATAAGATCTTACGTGGAAGTCAAATCATTGTTTACACTGGCTCATCGTATCACAATAATCACTAATATTTGATAGAAAACACAGGCTGGAGATAGAACAATATATTCAATATGAATCAAAACAAGCCATACAGAATGATCACGTCTGCAGGGCTGAGCCATTCCATCTGCTTAACTGAATTCCCAATGAATTATCACGCGTCCACCATTATTGACCTTCTCTTTGTGCTACATGCTTAAAGTCTATTTTCCCAGTTATCTCATGATCAGCTTTGAGGATTGTGATTAGGATCCTATGCCATTACAACTTCATGTAAGATCTTATAGATAGGGTAGTCACATCATGAAAAATCTGAAATCGTGAAATACGTTTATTATTCTTGTGTCATAGTTGGTTGTACTAATACTGGCCTAGATAATAATCCTACAAGCTCACCACTATCTGTACCACAGTAGCAGTTAAGGTGTGTCTGAACTGTATCGTTTACGACAGACACAACCACCAATCGCAGTAGCTCATATACGTTGATTTGCTAGTGAAAAATAAACAAGTTCCTTGAATGCTAGAAGTCAGTTCCTGTCCAAGAAGGATAAGATCTAAGTAGTCCAGCGATTTTCAAGGACAAGTGTGGCATCGA